GAGCATCAAGTCCTGCAGTGTGAACGTAGCCAATCTGTGGGATTGTTCAGTCAGATAATACGCCGTCATCCTGATTGGTGACATTAAATCCAAGGCTGTCGCTATGTTAAGGCTGTTTTTATGGGTTCTGTTCGTTGTTCCTAAAAACCTGTCGGATAGCAGGTTTAGGATTGTTAAGGGTCGGATTATTGAGTCATGACTGTATTTGGAAAATGTTACTGATTCCATGTTTGTTTACATTTTCTCATCAGGATAATTCACAAAATCTCGGCTTAACATGGTGATATTTAATCAAAAAATAAAATAAAATCAACTGTTCGTACAAACTGGATTCTGTAAAAAACTAAAAATTCTGAGCTCCTCGCTGCAAACAAGAAGCCGTGACTGACTTCACTGCGACCAACAGTCATGTCGAAAAAATTCATGGACTTTTTGTCTGACAAGTACGGAAACAAATGAAAACGCTACAGCTAGCAGCCAGTTAGCTTAGCTTAGCACGAAGGCTGTACACGGGGGGATGAGTGACCCCGTCCACCTACAGTTCTACAGTTTAATGTAGCTTTTATCCAAAGTGACGTAAATCTGAGAGCAGATACAACACGAAGTCAGGAGAAAACCACCTGGACCAGTGCCACAGAGCGAGTTCAAGTGCGACAGGGCGTTGATGCCAGTAGCAGGCTGTGTGGGAGGCAACAGGAATTCTTTATTTATTAGTTTTTTTCCAGTCTGTCCAGTGCAAAGGTGTTCAGTGAGGAACTGGTTCTGTTGTCTTTTCGTAAAGACTGAGAGGGAATCAGCAGATCGAACAGAGTTTGAGTCTAGCTGTCGACCTCGACCCGGTTCAGGTCTCAGGAGCCTCTTGTTGGTGTAGGAGCTGTTCTCATTGTCGTTCCTCCTCCCAGGTATGGCGGCGGTGTTGCCGAGGACCCTGGGTGAGCTGCAGCTCTACAGGATCCTGCAGCGGGCGAACCTGCTCTACTACTACGAGGCCTTCATCCAGCAGGGCGGCGACGACGTGCAGCAGCTGTGCGAGGCCGGCGAGGAGGAGTTCCTGGAGATCATGGCCCTCGTCGGCATGGCCAGCAAGCCGCTGCACGTCCGCCGCCTGCAGAAGGCGCTGCGCGACTGGGTCACCAACCCGGCCATCTTCAACCAGCCGCTCACCTCGCTGCCCGTCTGCAGCATCCCCGTCTACAAGCTGCCCGAGGGCTCGCCCACGCTGCTCAGCGCTCAGGACCGGGCCAACACCGCCAGCGTCAAGATGCCCAAAGCCATCGCCGCCGCCTGCTCCGACCCCGGCAAGCTGGACGTGGCGAGGGACAAAGTGTCGGCCGGCTCGCCCCTGCAGGGCAGCAGCGAGGCCCGGTTCTGGTCGGGCCACAGCAACGACAGCGAGCACAGCCTGTCGCCGTCGGACCTCGGCTCGCCGTCCTCGCCCAGAGACGCCCTGGAGGCCCTGGACGCCCCCGCCGTGCAGTCGGTGCTGGAGTGCGTGGACCGGATGGCGCCGGGGCTCTCGAAGACGGACCCGGCCGAGGTCAAGGAGCAGCTGAAGAACAACAAGAAGCTGGCCAAGATGATCGGACACATCTTCGAGATGAGCGACGACGACCCGCGGCGGGAGGAGGAGATCCGGAAGTACAGCGCCATCTACGGGCGCTTCGACTCCAAGAGGCGGGACGGCAAACACCTGACGCTGCACGAGGTGGACCAGCTTTCCCTGAAGTTCTAGAGAACCAGCCGAGGAATGTCTGAGGTTTGTGTTTCATGTAACCGACTGGTGTCTCGCCTGCAGCTGACGGTGAACGAGGCGGCGGCTCAGCTCTGCATGAGGGACATGGCGCTGCTGACTCGCCGGGACGAGCTGTTCGGACTCGCCCGGCAGATTTCCAGAGAGGTGACCTACAAGTACACCTACCGCACCAGCAAGTAAGAGCCGCCTGCACCGCTCACCTCACCTCGGGGTTTTCTTTGTTTTAGCTTTTTCTGCAGGAGAACTGACTTTACATCGAGAGTCTTGCAAATGTTTAATAGAAGAACATTTGTTTTGGAGCTTAAAACAATCTAATCTCTGATTATGCTGCTTATCCATCAAAATAAAAGCTCAGAAGTTAAAGTAGTTTTTAACAAAAAATTTTTGAAATAAACAATTTAAAGTTGTTTTATTGATTTAAAGTGTTACTGAACATGTCAAGTGTTTAAAAAAAAAAAACAGGCAGAAACTGTAAAATTAGAATCTGTATTTTTATAAAACTGATCTGACTGTAAAATTCCATTTTTTTAATGTATTAAAATCAGCAAAACATATTATTTTACACATATTTCCTATTTTTTGTAAAGAAAAATGATGCATTTTAAGGATAATTTTCTAGCTGTTACAGATTTTAATGTTTTTGTTAAATTTAGAGATAATGTTTGGTAAAATAATAATATTAATTATAATAATTTCTATTTTAACTGCAAGAATAGAAAAAAAACAGGCCTATACTCTAAATAATGTCCACATCTGACGGTAACGAGTTCTTTTAAACTTCAAATCTAATCAAATCTAATAATTTTACAGACATTTTCTTTACGTTACAGCGTCCCACTGTTTGTTGTTTTTGCACATTTTCTGGCGCCCTCGCTGCCAGATTTTCAGTTTCTTGAAATAATTCTAACAATAATCACACAGACTCTTTGCAGCGATTAAAAATGTTAAAACTTTATCTTTAGATGAGTTCAATCAGCTGCTACCTGCTGCCTCGTACTTGTAGCATAGTAAATAATTATAACTTGGTTGTTTTGTACTAAAACGATCAGACCTGCACGTGTTCACACGATTTCTTAAAGCAGAATTACGTCAGAATTCTCCTGCATGAAAACTGGAGCTGACCAACCAGAAACAAAGTGACAACCAGCATCTCCTGACGTTTTTCCTGCAGATCTCGCTGTGGAGACAGAGACGAACCGTCCCCCAAAAGAATTAAAACGGAGGTAAGACGCCGTCCTCTTGAAGCTCAAACAATGCAACAACTCTGGAGTTATTGTCAAACTGTGTCTGATTCCTTGTTGTTAACTGTGAGAGTTTCTGTGCTTTCTCCTGAATGATCACATTTTGCAGTTTTGAACAACTTTCTTCGACATTTATTTGAGAAAATAAGCGTCGGGATGTGAAACGTGTAGAAGGCTGATCTCTGGCACATGCAGCTCCTCTGTGTGCACTTATCAGAAACCGAAAGCTTCGGCCTTGAGCGGAGCACAAAGACGATGTCTTTGAATGGCTCCTCTCAGTGTGTAAACTATGATCGGAAACATGTGGCGAACTCTGCCGGGATTCTAACCCGAACCCAGAGACGAGCCGACACCTGCTCGACCAAAACCAGAGGTCCTAAAAAAAAGGAAACAACAGCAACAACAACAGGGGGAATTCCTGCTTTAGTCCTGCAGAAAAACAGAAAAAGTCCAGTTTAAAGGAATCAAAGGAAATAATAACCATAAAAATGTAAATTATGCAATGTCAGAAACAGCAGTAGTGGTTAATAAATAATAAAATAATAATAATTCAGAATTAAATAACGAGACTGAGCCCTAAAAGTTTCACTTCTTTCAATTTAAAGAAATTAAAATAAATCACAAAATTACAATTATTTAACAGCCACAACTCACATTATTCATGTTTTTGTTTTTTTTTAAACTAATATAATTATTTATTCTGTTGAGTTGATGAATAGAAAATGCAGGAAGTAATAAATATAAATAAGAATAAAATGAATAAAATCTATGGACAAATTGGAAATAAATGCAAAAAATGACACCTGAAGCAAAAGCACCACAATAATATTTTAAATCAACAATAATTCCAATAAATTAAATAGAAACAAATCAAATTGATTAAACTAATAGAAAATATAAGGTAATATTAGCCGTTATTTATAATGTTGTATTGGTAAAAAAAAAAAAAATGCAGAAATTAAGAAATCATAAGAATGGAGTAAAAATTGATAAAATCCACTTAAAAATCAGAAATAAAGGCAAAAATGACATTTCAGCTAATATTAATCACTTATAATCGATAGAGTAGCGTACCTAGAGAGCTAATTAGCTAAAAATGTTAATAAATTTACCAGTTTCTTTATGTTTTCTGTAAATTTGTCGACTTTAATTCTCCACTGCAGCCTTGATCTGGTGTCATTTATGTGCAACAGTAGAAAATAAACTCCTGTTGGACTTCTAACCTCACAAAATCACAGAAAAAGGATTAAATCCGTGTCCTCCTGTCCTCTCGTTTCAGTGCTTAGTGAAGGAAAAACACAAAACAAACCCTCAAAATGTCGTTTAAAGTAACAAGAGCTGCAGGTTTTCAGTGCAAACGGCCTTGAGCTGCTGAACAGCTCCAGGTCGGTAGAAGTAAGGCTGACGGGGACGATGCAGGAGTTAAAGACGCGCTTGTTTGCTGCAGGAGAACTTCTTCGACATCCAGGAGGCGCTGCAGGCGATCCACATGAGGCAGGAGATGCTGAGGGAGCAGCTCGCCTGCGCCAAGTCGAAAGGAGAAGAAACCGTTGGACGGAACCTGCAGGTAGGAAGCCGTGTTGGATTTGGACTTTAGCTGAGGTGTTTCTAAAATTAGGAGAACTTTGTGCAGTTTGATTCGAGACAGAACAGAAACCACCGTGAAGCGCTCTGAGGGCTGATAGATGAACTAACCTTCTGATCTCCAGTTTCTGGACGTTTGTTTGCTGTCGGCTGATGTTTCGCTGCAACGTAAAGTCCTGCAGCTCAGTGGAGTCAGATGGAGGCTCGACACAGTACAGATATTTAACTATTTCCATGTTTGCAGACTTTTTCTCTCGATGTTTCACCATCAGCTGGATGTGTCTTCCAACAACCTGCTGCTCTGCTCTCTGCTTCTGAATCTCTCTGTGGAAACACCGCCTGCAGTTCAACCCAAAAACTCTCTGAATTTTTGTGATGAAACCGTTTATCTCAGCTGAGCCACGAACGGCCTCATAGTTGCTCTGATGAGTGCAGAATTTTTTGTTTTTTACAGAATCTGTTTAGAGCAAGCGGTTTGTTTTTGGCATTTTTTTTTTTAAGGACACGTGTAGAATGAGGAGATTCTGCTGCGAGCTTAGATTTGCTTTTAATTCTCAGTGGAGACGCATCGAAAGTTAAGCGTGATCGGCTCAAGGACTCATACTTTCTGTTTCTACACGTTCTGGTTCTGATAAATGGTGCAAGTTTTAAAGACGACGTGTCCCTCAGGGGTAACGCTGCTCACCTTTTGTCGCTGTGAAGTTAAATCAGACAGAAAGCTGCACAGAAGTGATGCAGAAATACAGCATTTTAAGAGACGAGTTGAATGTTTCGTCTGTTGCGGTTGTTTTGATCCAAACCAGCTGACTTTAGTCTTCTGCACATCCACAATATTTCAGTTTCTAATCACGTCATCCCCTCACGCACCGACCTGCTGCACCAGATATTAACCAAAGCAGCAGACGAGGATTCATCCTAAATGTCAACCTGCTCGCTTGTTTAAAACTGAAACTAGATATTTGTGAAGATTAACGAAGTCGTTAGGAACAAATAAACTAAAACTCAGGGGTTGATTTGGACTTTTTTGCAGAGTTTCTTGACAACAAGTGCAGCTGTGCATAAAAAAAAGAAAAGAAAAATGAAGTCTTGAATCGGTAAGAAATCCTCCAAAACAAGCTCCTGTTGTTGTTTCTTGCACCGAAATTCATTATAATTTCTTACTTTTTGTGGCATTTTAGTTGTAAAAATTAGTGTTTTTTATTATGTTGAAGGTCTAGAATGAGAATTCTCACATTTCAGGTGTTTAATAAGCAACAAACAACCTGTTTTGTTGTTATTTTCTTGTAAATAAACAATATTGTGGGAGGAACTTGTCCAGAATGAACCATTCGGGGAGGTAATAGGAGGAAAACATGCTGCTGATTTGGTCTTTTTGCAGGATTTGTTGATAATTAGTGCAACCTGCACGAGGAAATCTAGAAAATGAAGAAAGAAATCCTCCAAAATGAGCACCTGTTGTTGTTTCTTGCATCAAAATTCATTGAAATTTCTCATTTTAGTTGTCAAAAGTAGCGTCTTTCTATTATGTGGAAGGTCTAAAATGAAAATTTTCACATTTCAGGTGTTTAATAAGCAACAAACAACCTTTTTTGTTGTTATTTCTTGTAAATAAACATTATTATGGGAGGAACTCTTCTGTATATTAAACATATTTGCAGCTTTTTTAGACATTTCTGTATATTTACGACACCAGAACGAACCAATCAGCGAAACGAGGAGGAAAACATGTTTTTAATTTGGTCTTTTTGCAGGATTTCTTGATAATTAGTGCAGCTGTGCATGAGGAAATCCATAAAATCGTCCAAAACATCCACCTGTTGTAGTTTCTTGCATCAAATTTCGTACATTTTGAGGCCTTTTAGTGGTAAAAATTAGCGTCTTTCTATTAAGTTGAAGGTCGAGGATGAGAATTCTCACATTTCAGGTGTTTATTAAGCAACAAACAACCTGTTTTGTTGTTATTTTCTTGTAAATAAACAATATTGTGGGAGGAACTCGTCCAGAACGAACCATTCAGTGAAATATTAGGAGGAAGACATGTTGCTGATTTGGTCTTTTTGCAGGATTTGTTAAAAGTAAGTGCAGCTGCGTACGAGGAAATCCACAAAATTGTCCAAAACATCCACCTGTTGTAGTTTCTTGCATCAAATTTCTTACATTTTGTGGCCTTTTAGTGGTAAAAAATTAGCGTCTTTCTAATATGTTGAAGGTCCAGGATGAGAATTCTCACATTTCAGGTGTTTAATAAGCAACAAACAACCTGTTTTGTTGTTGTTTTCCTCGTACGGTGGGAGCATCTCAGTCCCAGTCGCTGCACATGTTGGAAGTTCCATGAGCAGGAGTGAATCTGCACATCAGAGACGAGCCCTCAGCGCCTCCTCCAACAAACGCAGCGCCGCCGCCGGTTCAAAGGATCCCGAGCAGCAGATTTCCGTGTCGGCAGATGTTTGTGGCAGCAGGATCCAGTCTGATCCCAGTAATGCTCTTTATTGGTTTCCATGCCGCTGCAGCTTGTTCCTAATTAGAGCCGGCGTGTGGGAGGGCAGCTTTATGATAACTCATTACCCAGAGAACATGTCGACTGGCTGCTGCTCCGCGGCGTGTGCGCGCGAACATGCGTCTGCTGCATGCGTCGCGGCTGATCGGCGGCGGCGGCGGCTGCAGTTACACTTGTCAGCGCTGATGTGATTTTCGGCGTTCAGAAGAAGGAGAGATTTCATGGCTGCGTTGGCGCCGCGGGCCCTCGTAGGGATGTAAAGCTCGTCCTATAGTGATTCAGACTGACAGCGACGTGACAATGAGCAGACATCAGCGCAGGTTTTATTCCCCGGCTCCGGTCCTTCACTCGGCCCGGATTAGCCGCCTGATGTCTGTTTGTTCCGGCCATTTTGCTGCTGTTTAACTTGTCTAAGTTGGTTTAACACGTCGGGGTGGCCGCGAGTTCACGCTCAGTCAGCTCGATTTCAGGTCCGTCACGTTCAGGGAGCCCACAAAGTGTAAATCCTCCCGTTGTCGCTCCTTTCAGAACAGAACACTGAAGATGCTCCTTGTGTGCTCATTAGAAGTGTTGAATGTGTTTTTATTCATACAGACACGGTTCCTGCAGATTCTCCAAAGCTCTTAAGTTAGATTGTTAAGATTTACGGCCATAAAAAGTCTAAATTTACTTGTTAAAGCTCGAAGAGTTCACAGTTGACAAACTGTTTTGGACATTTCTGTCGTCCTGATGGAGGAGTTTGATGATTTTATTTATATTTACATGTGATGTACACATGATAGATGTTGGTCTTATGGTTACTGATCAGCTGTGATGTTCAAAACACAAACTGCTCATTTTTTCTGACCTTCCTGTAGCAGCTAATCTGAATTAATGTGACTCTGGAGACCAAAAACAAGGCTGGGACATTTTTACTCTGCAACATAAAGTCCTGCAGAGACGATTTAGAAATGTCTTCTGTGCAGCTCCAGCACTATAAATCATAAAACCTAATGTGATAAACACGCACAGCTTCTTTCCAAATGCCCACAGCTGTAAAAATAACTCCACATATTATAGATATTTTATCTCCTCTCTGTGGAGACACTGCCTGCAGTTCAGCCAAAAAGTCCCAGAATTTTTGTCCGGTGACTGTTGGTTGCAGCCGAGTCACTGAAGGCCTCGCTGTTGCTCTGAGGGGAGCAGAATTTTTTGTTTTTTACCAAATCTGGTTGGAGTGAAGGGTTTATTTTTGGCGATTTTTAAAAATCCGACATGCAGAATATAGCGACTGATGAAATTAGTGATGATTTAGTGGAACACGTGTATGAGTAGTTCACTTACTGTTGTTTTTTCCAGTTTTTGGCTTTAATAAATGTCATTTTGTCCATTTTTTTTTTCAACAGACAACCTGCTTTGCATAAATAAATATAAATACAGTGCACAGTTAGTGAAAGCAGTGTCGGAAAGTTGAACAATTATGATATATTTGGTGTTTTTTGCAGTTTTTGGTTCTGATAAATGACGTAGTTTTTGCATTTTTTTAAAAAGCTCTCATGCCTGTCGTACTCCCTTGTTGGTTTTTGGTTTTTGGTTAATAAGAGTACCACCTCCAGTTCTGTTCCAGCAGCAGTGTTGTACAAACTGGTCCAGATAGTTGGTGTTTTTGTAAGTTAGAAACCAGGACAAGATGTAAATATTTCCTCCAGAGCGCTCCGGCTAGCTTAACCGGGTCGTTTGAGTTCATCCGGGTTTCTAGAATGTCCACATGACGTTTACGCGCACAAACACTAAACCAGGACGCTCTAAAACCCGGTCTTCTTTAATTCAGATGCAGCTGGAGCGTCTGCTGGCGAGGCAGATGGAGATCCTGCAGGACGCCGCCGTCCAGGAGCGACTCCAGGCCCTGGACTGGAGGATCCCCCCCGCCGCCTTAAAGTACCTCAACGACGCCCAGAACACCAACGGAGCCGCCGCCGACGCCACGAGAGACAACCAAGGTAGGACCGGGGAGAAACTGGATGTTGGAAATGTAGATGTGAACCAGCCGAGGTTACTATAGCTACACGTTAGTCACGGCGTAACGGATAAAGACTCCGCAGTCACCCGGTGCGTGGACTAAAAATACCGCCGGGAGCCAGGTACAACCGGAGGAAGAAACGGCTGCATCGCTCAGCAACCGGCCTCCAGCGCCGACGCAAACTTATCAGAGGCTGGAGCCAATGGCTGAGAGCGACACGCCCTCTGAGTCAGCCGCGGCTTTGTGTCACAATAAACGGAAAGAAAGTAGGTTAACCTGCAAAGCCCTCTGAAATCATCAAGGTCACCGTAATCTGTGGATTTATTCTCTCTTCAAACGTAGTAAATATGTGATAGTATTCAGAAATCCCTTCACATTCGGGGTTTTTTTCCAGTCGTTTTTGTGTTTGTGGTAAGTTTCAGTCGAGCTTGTTGATTCCCACTGAAACAAACCTTAAAGAGCCCACGAGCTTCACATCTACAGCGTCATAGTTCTGACCTTCGGGGTTTACTACAGTGTTTACATGCTGTACGGCTTAAATAAAAGTCATTTTTCTTACGCTGCAGCACCTTTTCTGTCTTTAAACCTTTAAAGGCCCCCTTTCTAAACAGTGCTCTGATTGGTTTCTCGCAACTTATTTTTGTTTATGCACCCTAACTCCAGATCAGAGGCTTTCAGGAATGCAGTTAGACAAAATAACGTCGTTGTCCAAGAACCAAGCTGGCTGCTACTCAGGCGTTATGCAAATGTGTGACATGATGACATCGACACGTAACGTAAGAGACTTTAAACGAGGACTAAAGCTTGTTCCCTTCCAGATCTGTTGTGGCGTTCACCGGAGAAACATTTACCGAACTACATTACTACATTACTACTAAAACTACACTTTTAAAATCATCCAGTGTAGAGGCTCAAACTACTTTTTACAATAAACTGTCACGGTTCCAATCTGAACATTACAGTTTGACGTATTACTGTAAGCAGAAACTACGAGACAGAAATACTGAAAACGCCTCAAGCTGTGCAGAATTAACCTCAATTTTTTTGATTTGTCGAAGAATTTTTAGCGTGTTTTGCAAGTTGTAGTTGACTCACTGCTGCCCCCTGGTGTCCAGTCAGGCTGCAGTGATTAAATAATTAGTTGTCAACTTACTGGAAAGCTGAAAATTTAGTTTTGAGGATCTTTTGCTGATTGTAGTCGACTCTCTGCTGCCCCCGGTGTCCACTCAGGAGAAAACATCCTCGTCTTGAGCATAATTGTTGGTCTTTAGGGTTAAAAGCAGGTAGAACTGAACTCAATTTGACTCGTGGAGCGTTTCAGGCGAGTTCTGAGGCGTCTTTCATGTCATGTGTGCCACAGGATGCGGCTGTGGATGGAAACAACACCTATAGGTGGTGATTTTCCACACCCAGCCGTGGAAGCTTTGTCGAACGGCGTCAAATCAAATTAGACCTGATGTGGCTTTTATTTGCCACTTATCAACAGAAAACCCACGTTTAATATAAGCAGAATTTTAATATTTGTTTCGACTTGCCAAAGAAGTTTTTAGCATCTTTTGCTAATTGTAGTCGACTCTCTGCTGCCCCCGGTGTCCACAACATCCAGTCACTGACTCACAGAAAACTAATCTTGATTGTAAAAATACCCAGAAAGCCCTTCAAATAATGCAGAATTTAAACTTTTGTTTGGCTTGTCTGTAAATTTTTTTGAGTTTTAGTCGACTCTCTGCTGCCCCCGGTGTCCACTCAGGAGTAAACATCCAGCTGTGGCTGCAAAGTTGTCACTGATCGACAGAAAACAAACCTTTATTGGAAAAAAATATCCAGAAACTCCCTCAAATAATGCAGAATTTTGCTATTTGTTCGGCTCGCCAAAGAAATTTTAAGCATCTTTTGCTAATTGTAGTCGACTCTCTGCTGCCCCCGGTGTCCAATCTGGAGAAAACATCCAGTCACTGATCCACAGAAAACTAATCTTGATTGTAAAAATACCCAGAAACTCTTTGAAATAATGCAAAATTAAAATTTTTGTTTGGCTTGCCTGCGATTCTTTTGCATCATTTTTTTTAGATGTAGTCGACTCTCTGCTGCCCCCGGTGTCCAATCTGGAGAAAACATCCTCGTCTTGACCATAATTGTTGGTCTTTAGGGTTAAAAGCAGGTAGAACTGAACTCGATTTGACTCGTGGAGCGTTTCAGACGCGTTCTGAGGCTGGTTTCATGTCATGTGTGCCACAGGATGCGGCTGTGGATGGAAACAACACCTATAGGTGGTGATTTTCCACACCCAGCCGTGGAAGCTGTCACCTTTTTTTTTTCTTTTCTTTATCTGCTGCTCTGACTTCTCAAACACTGAGGGGGGAAGAAGAAGAGGAAGAAGAAAAAAAAGCATCATTATTCAGGATCTTACTTCTCCTCCGGGCCTCATCTCATTTTCATCCTTTTCCTCCCTCACCCACTCACGACAGCTCATTATATCGCTGTTCCCACAAATCCCACAATGCACCTGTAATTATCACGCCCACGCCTGTTTACCTCCAGCCAGTTGCCTGGAGGGGGGCGTCTCTCTCTCTCCCTCTCTCCCAGACTCTGTTTGCCTCTCTCTGTCCTCCCCCTCTCCTTCTCGGCTTTCTTCTTCCTCTTGTCCTTTTCTTCCCCTCTGTCATTTGTCATTTCTTTTCTCCTCCTTCTCGTCTCCTCGGCCTGTCTCAGCGTCTCCCTCCCCGCAGCTTTCTATTTCATTTTTACTCCTTTCTTCTCCGATTTATTTTTTTTTATTGCCTCCTCGCACTAAAATAAAAATATTAAGCGTCCTGAGAAGCTAATCACACATTTCAATCCGCCGGTTTTATCAGCGTTTTTACTTGAAACCGTGCACATTTTTAAAAACCACGTTCTGTTCCTGCACAAAAAAACATCTGCAAAAACAAAACATGAGCAGGTTTTAAACCGAAATGATAAGAACTGACAACAAAAATATCAGTTTTTAGCCAATTTTGTCAAATTCAGTTGCACTAAATCTGCATTTTTGCTCCTAAAGTATTCAAAAATAACAGGAAAATTCAGATTTCTATTAAATACGATGAAACACAGACTCATTCTGTGTGCTAATTTGTACCACTGATGCTAACTGTGCACGTGGTCGTCCCACAAAGCTGCATTATGAGTCAGACAAACCCTGAATTTTACATAAAGGTGCACATGTCTGCTCCTGTTTTGCAGGTTTTCTGGAAAGTCGGTTCAAATTTGCACTAAAATCCACTAAAATATCAGAAAAGATGTTTATACGGTCATTTGTTCTGATGTAAACGACATCCCGGATTTAGAAATCTGGATTTGACAAACCTGAACTTAACTAGAATAAACGTTTTTAACTTTGCATTTTACTCGTATTGAGCCGAAATGTCACCATTTTGTTAAATTACGCATCATGTAAAGTTGTAAAAACGCAGGAAAAAACTAATAATTTATACATTAACTGTAAAAAAAAAAAAAAAAGAAGTATCTGTACTTTTCTAAATGGTTCTTTATTCTTTTGCAATGTTTAAATCGTGAAATTACAGTTTTAATATATTAAAATCTGCAAAAAATTTGATTATTTTTGCAGATTTTTGCTGTTACTTGAAAAAAGCATCATTTATATGAAGAAAAATTGTGAAAAATTATGTAAACTGTTAATTTTTTTTTACAGATTTTCCCTGATTTCTTAAATAACATCTAATAAAATGATTTTTACAGATGTTTTATGTTATTTTTTAGTTTTTTTGCGTCCTTGCTGCCACATTTTTTACATTGTTATGGACTTCTTTAAAGCCCAGATCCACCAGAAAGTCAGTAATGTGGACAATAAACCTGATTGTTGCTCTTCTAGTTTTTAATTGAGCTGATATGAATAAATGCCGGCGAGCTGCGCGGCGTTTCAGTCGCAAATAATCAGATTTGTTCACGTCATGACGCTCGATTAGAAGCAGGACGAGATTAAAAGGCCGCAGATGAGCGAACATGCAGTAAAACACGGTGAAGCTTAACGATGTTACAGCTTCTCTTTGTTTCCTTCTGTCTCTCGGAGGGAATAAAAGACAAACACGAGGGATCAGCGGCTTCGCTCACGTTCGGCTGCCGCTGGGAATATGGAACATGTGAAACAAAGCCGGCCTTAGATCAACATCTGGGCTGATGTTTACTTCAATCCAGCTGGGTTTGCTTCACATGCTCGGTGGTGTGTAGTTAGATAAGGATCCTAATGGGTCGGTTCAGGAGTTAATTCATACCACTATAGTTTATTAATAGAAATAATACTCAGGGATGAATATGTCACAAACACAACACAGATTATTGTCCCGTCCTTTTAGATTTAATCGTTTAATTCTCCTTCAACATCTTTAAAATCTCATCTTTGATCTACAGGCGTGTTTGTGTGTTTAATGAGCCGTCGGTCTGATCGTCTCTGTTTGGACGCTCTCCGGCTGGTTTTATGATCTTTGTTTGTTTTTTATTCACGTTATTGGATTGTTTTAGTTTATTTTGCTGCGTAAATACAATTTATTATTTATTACTTTTTATCGTTCTGATATTTGTTATGAATGATTTAATCAAACATTAAAAAATTTGTCTCTGTTGCTTCCAGACGAGCGGCCAATCAACTTGCGGGTGGTCAGCCAGAGCATGCAAGAAGGAGAGCTCCCATTGGGCAAGCAGCTAGCCAATGAGCTGAAGCGCCATCACAACCACAACAACAACAACAACAACAACAACAACAACAACACAGAGGAGACCAAAACACCAGCAACAGGTTGGTAAATTCATTAATATTATTAGTAGTAGGAGTAGTAGTTGTAGTAATAAAAAATACTATTATTTATTAGTAGTAGTAGTTTTAGTAGTATTGAAAATAATAATAACAATAATAAATATTATTTTATATATTTTTATTCTTATTAGTAGTACTGATAATATATATATAATACAAATTACAATAAAAATGATAATAGTGATTATAATAGTAATGAATGTTAATAATAATTCTAATTTAATAATTACATTTTAATATTTTATTTACTATTGTTATGACTGATAAAATAAAATTATGATGAGTATTATTATTATTATTATTATTATTATGAATAAGAAGAAGAACTTTATTTGTGTAGCACCTTACAAGTCAAACTTTTTTTAATTTTTATTTTTTTATTATATAACATTTTAATGACAACATCAACCGGCACTCCTGTAAAAAGGATTTTGATTGGTGTGAATATTGAGGTTTATGTCTCATAGTTTAGCTAATCTGTAAACACAAAAACATACGTTTAATTAACAGATGGATGGAAACTTTATCGCTGCCGTGCGAGAGATGCTAATCGGAGGCTAACGCTGTTTAGTTTTATGGAATGAGTGCATGAAGCGTTAGCGCCATGAAACATAACGAGGATACGTAGTGAGAAGTATGAACCGATGCTTTTACAGGATTAGCCTGTTGGATCAGTAATTCTTCTTGGAGCACAAAGTTCGATCTCTCCCTAAAACCACTGTGAATGTTTAATACACGGATCCCACAAACATCGTGAAAATATTTAGAAAATTTAACAAAAGAAAAATTACAAAATAAGCAGAATAAAGTAGAACGTACATAAGTGCTAATTATAGAAAAAACATTATTACAGAATCAGACGTTCTTTATATCAGAAATCAGAAATATAAACAGGACGTGACATAGAGATAAAAATAAGTGGAAAAAATATCCTAAAAATATGTCTTAGGCTTTATAAATGATGGATCTTAACCTTAACTCAACACCATGACTATTAATGAAGGGGATTAAAGCCGTTTGTCCAGCGCTGACTGTGTTTTAATCCCACCGTGTCGTCCTTTGCCTCCAGAAAACGGGACGTCGCAGCGAGCGTCCAGCAACGCCGAGAAGAAGACCATCAAGTCAGAGCCAGAAGACTCCACATAGTGCCTCCCGACTCGCCCACGTCATCCTACTCACACCTGACAGTATGCAGTTATCACCCGTCAACAGATACTAAGCAAGCACAGCCACAGTAGAGCCTTAACAACCAACGTTGCCTCATGAATAGCATTTATTTTTCTTTCTTTTTTTTTCCTTTGTTTTTAAAGGTATTCGCCAAAGCACCTCGCGAGCACGTCGGGAAGCCCCTCGCTGCTCTGGCGGGTCTTTGTCTGTTGATTAACTGTAATTTAAAGTGTCGGACTCGTGTGTGTGTGCTCGTTACCTCCGCCCGACCCGGCCGCCGTTTGTTCGTGCCGCTTCGTTCGGACGGCCGGGCGGCGGGCCGCGGCGTCGGGGCTGGGTCTTAACTCGGGCGCGGATTCAGAAACGTAAAAGCAGAACGCTGAGGGACGCTTCACGTACGTCAAGGCCTCCTCAAGCTGCTGTCTGGAAAACACAGTCGGATATCTGGTGTTTGCATAGTTGTATTTATTTTGTCCGTAGGGGTGATGATGTTGATCGGTGGCTTCCATGTTCGACTCGTTTGTAATTCACCACTCAGCTGTAGATTGACGCAAGATTTTTTAAAGGCAGTAGCCGCGTTTCTAAAGTCCTAAACTTTCCCCAGAAAAAAAGCAGAAAACGTGAGGAATAAACGAGGCCGCCTGAAGGTGGCGGCGTGGGCTACGTAGGCTTCAATAACCAGAGAAGAAGAACAAGAAGAGGTCGCGACCAGGACATAGACTGTATAAAAGATGGACGTAGCAACCGGACCTGAAACATGAAGCCAACCCGGAAGTGTCAAAAACCTGCAATATCACCACGACTGCTAGTCCTGGCTCCACAAAGCCCTGGCTCCCATAGACTGGAACTGGAAAAGAAGTGATCACAGATCATGAAATACTGCATTCCTACAGCTCAGGATTTGTTTCTTATTAGTTTTCATGGTCAAATCCAGAGATCAGGTGGCCAATCTGAAAATAAATCAATACTGAATTTTTAAAAATCATCAACATTTTGCGGGGCAAGGGGCGTGGCTGGCTTGATTGACAGTCGGCAGCGACCATACAGACGAAGCGAGCAGAAGGCGGTAAATGTGGGCGGGGCAGAGAGGGCCCGCCTCTCAATCCGTCTGACCAATCGCTGCTCCTATGGCTCCGCCCCCCTCCCACAATTTTTGCGTCACTGGCTCCAAAAATCCAAGATGTCAACCAGGAAGTAGCAAAACCCTGGCTTCATGTTCTCAGTGCAGAAACCAACGGGTGACGTCACGGCAGCTACGTCCATCTTTTATACAGTCTATGGACCAGGAAGTAAAAATTCGAAGAACCTGGACTCCAACAGGAACCAATTGTCGTCACTTGAGTTAAATGTTCGAAATCTATTCAACAAAAGTGTTTCCGTCTCCGAGGAGCGCAGCTTTTTTTATATTTTCCTTTTTCTAAACACGCAGACGGAAACACAATCTCATCCTGGTTATCGTACGAGACTTCCAACCCTCTGAACTCCAAGCAGCAGTTTGTCTCGTTTTTCTTCGCTGTTGGTTCATTTTTCACTGCAACGAAAAGTCGTGCAGCGTTTCAGAAGAACAACAACAAATAGGAGAGAATCTTCATAATGTCTTCTGTGCAGTTTAGCAAAGTTCAATTTCTTTGCTTATTTATACATAAAAAATGACAAAAGTTAGATTTAGCTTTTTACAGCATCTGGTTCGTGAGAGTGTTTTATATTTGGAGAGATTTTGACGAACAGAAGTGTGTCAGAAACCCGATGTTTCTGACTGTTTTTACGTTTTCTGGCGTTAATGGTGTGATTTTCTAAACATTAGCTGCTTTTCAGACCTTATTTTCTGCAGGTTTTGGAGTTCAGACGGTTAAATCTTCCCACCAGCTCTCGTTTATGGTGAATAATGTTCGTTAGCATGATGGCTAACGTTACCCGCTTCTTGTTGGGATGCTAAAATTAGCATTTAGCTTTAAAAAACAGAATAACGCGGCTACTGTCACCATGTAACGTGCTCTAATGAAGCTTTCAGTTAGAAGCTAAATGTGATTAACTGCACATGTAAAGAAAACTATTAGAAAGTGGTGTCAAATTATAACATGAAAACGGTAAAAATGTAACCTCCTCGCTAATTAACAAGCTTCTGCAATGAATATTTGACGAGTCGTCCAATTAATTTATTGTTTTTGTTGCTAACTCCTGATGTTTTCTGGTTTCTTTCCTCCTCTGTGACATTAAACTGAATATTTTTGGGTGAACCGATCAACATTTGTCACCGTTTTGTCGGCCGAGCAGCGACGTTCAGCAGCGTCGTGCTTCTTCTGAGCCTCCGTCACTCCCAAAAACCGTAACTTCTGCGTTTGTACTGTAACTAAAAAAAATCAAAAAGGCGTTCGTACTGTAGGGAGAGTTAAGACGCAGCCCCTCGTAGCAGGTTCTTATTTTCACCTTTTGTTGTTGTTGTTGTTGTTGTTGTTGTTGTTGTTTCACTTCAAATGGTAGAAAAAATAAAGCGGGCGAGGCGGGGTCGGTCCCGCCCTCCTCGCGCTCGTCTTGTGTATATTTATGGGAGGTAATTTAAGAAGAGGATGTACAGGAGCTGTCGTCCGACGGTTCGGGCCGAGCTAACTGGTTCGTTTGTAATTTAGCGAAGCGCTGCCGTCGAAGCGGAAACCGAGCGCGTCGGGAGCGAAGAGGCCGCGAGGCGTCGAGCTCCTGAACGCTTTGCAGGTTTGGCGGCTTCTCGACGACAGAAGAGCTCCGGTCTGCTCGCCGCTCTGGGTGGAGGCGGCGTCTGTAAATAACACATAGTGCTAGCCTAATCTCTCAACCAGGGTTTTCCTTCGTCAAGTGTAACTTTGCTGTAGATTTTTCGGTGTCAATACAAGTGTTTATGTATGTAGAGCAAAAAAAAACAAAAAAAACCACAAAAAAATAACAGAAGAAAAAACGAAATCTTAAATGTCAATGAGGAAAAAAAAAACAAACCTACGTGTCTGGTGTATAAAGACCTGCTTTACATGATGGTAATGTTGTTAGCCTTAGCTCTTAACAGTGTTTCCTCCACCTGTGATGGCCACCAGTGCATATTTCCAATGTGTTTTTGCTGTTTAGAGGTAGATGCATAACAAATAAGTGTTTTTACGTGTTCGCCACATCGTGTAAATACGTCTGTTTGGTCCGAGATGATAGAAGAAGAAAAAAAAAAAACGTCCAGACAATTTGGTCCTGCGGATAGTTTAGTGTCGCTCAGCGTAACGGGAGACCAATGCAATATTTATGTAAGTAATAAGTCGATTTGCATTCTACTCGTGCTCGGTAACTGTCGTCCCGTCGTCGGTGGTGGGAACCTTCGCGTCGTCTCACCTCCGAGAGCGTTTTTTTGTGTTCGTGCTCCTTTCGCCGAATCCCGTGGTGAGGTGTTGGAGAAGCCGGCGAGGACTCGAGGTTGCGATCTGTTGTACAAATCCAGTTCTGGGAGAAAAGAGAAAACGAAACGCCGCCGCCGTGGTTTTCTGGAGAATAAGCGCATGTCTGAGCTGCCGTCTCACCGATCACCGTTCTCCTCACTGTTTATTGTAAAGTGATAGATTAGGCTTCACCTAGTTATGCACCTGTTTTTTAAACACTAATATATTTTATTTGTTATACAGCACATAAACATTAAACTTTATTTTTTTGAACTCTATTGTGGGGTGCGCTCTGTCATCTATGTTGTCTGTTTCTTGTTGCATCGATGAAGGTAAAACATAACGTGCTGTCCTCTACAGACGTACGACATTATCATCATGTTTAGATTTGCAAACATGCAAAAATCACCAATACGATATCTGTCATGTTTCTTCAGCTCTGGTTTTTTCCCAATTTGCGAATTCGTTCTTCCAACTTTGGTGTGTTCGGTGCTTCCAGATGTTACAAGGATTACGTTTTGATTTATTCTTTTTCTTCTGACAACACTTTAAGCGAAGGAAATGGATTCTTGGGTTACTGCTCATAAATACCCATTACAAGCTAACGCTAAATTGCAAAAACGTATTTTTAGCAAAACTAAATATACAGTATTTGAATCTGCATCCATTCATCAAAACAGTTGCTTTCAACAGCAAGTCATGCACCGACGTTGTTGCTGCAATTTAAGACGCCGTTCCCGAGAATTTTCCAAGTTCGTAAACAAATTTTTGAATGAATGTGGATGATAGCTAACGCTTTAGCATTCTTAGCATGCTAACCCAAAACTAGCATAAACTTCCACAAAGCTTCACTTTTGCATTTGTTTAGTTCAGGTGTACTCTTGACGTGTCACGAAGCCAAAATGCATCGACCAAATCTAGTTTTCCAACAACACTGGCCCAAAGTTAGCTTCAGTGATGCTAACTGATGCTAATCCTAAAAACAGCCCGTTTGTCTGAACCAGTAGGTTTTTCATGATGTACGTACAAAAAGTGGATTTTTGGTGCTGATGTAGGGGGAGTTAAAGTCTGATGTCGATATATTTATACGTATGCACCTAAATATACAAACAGGACGTTAAAGTTAAATTAAAAAGAGAAATTGATGAAGCCATTGTTTAATTTTTGCAACATTTTTTGCAAACTAGTTAAAAACGTATTGAAAGGTCACCTCCTGACTCCGTACCGCCGTCCATTGTTGTTGTGATTCGTACTCTGCTACATGTGCTGCAGGAGTCGGAGCGGCTCTGCTGGTCGAACTACGACACAATTTCTTGATATATTTTTTTTGCATTATGTTCAGTGTTAAAAAAGTTTTTACGTCACACGCCGATGTGACGGATCTGTTACAGGCAGCTGAAAATACTGGTCGGCTGATTATTTTTTTAATCATTCAGTCTGTAAACCTCTAAGTTGCTGAGTTCTTTTGAAAAAAACAAAACAAACAAAAACTCAAAATTAGCCTGATTTCTGCCACATGCACAAGAAGAGTCCATCTGAACCTTGTTTGTGACGGTTTCAGTGGATCGTGAGTTAAAACATTTGAATTTTAGTCATGTAGAGTTTTATTTTAAAATGTCAGGATAAAGATTTTCAAAATGTTTTCGTGAAAGCCTTTGCAATGCTCGCTAAAGGGTTAGCCTCGATGGAGCTAACTAGCTATTGTGTCCCCATGACTTTTAAGATTATATTATTTTGAATATTTTAATGTAAAATATTTATAATATAATAAAGAAAATTATAATGATGTAGAAATGATAGATTTAGTATATTATTGCATATAAATGAGAGAATTTTGTTTTAAATGTATATATTTTTATTGAATATTTTTTATTATTATTATTTAGAACTAAGAGTAGAAGACTGACTTTAATGATTTAAAATGACTGTATTTTTATGAGATTGTTTGCTGCTTTCTTTCTTTTTTTTCTTTAGCAGCATTAGCGTGTTAGCATGCCCAGCATCGGAGGCTTGTAGCTGAGGTCTGAGCGACTAATGGGGCAGAAAGCTCCTCCTGTAATAACCAGCTGCTCTCAGCAACACTATCATTTAGTGATAATAATGTTTTGCCAGATTACATATCGGCTTCCCGCTGCAGGGAGGAGCTGCAGCGCTAACTGCAGGTTTGAATCCCGGCTGGAGGAGACGTCTGAGCCGAGTCCTGCGGCGGCCGGCCGGCCGGCCAGCTGGCTGCGACGTCTTGCTTCCTTTGCCTTTGAGCAAAGCTGCTGAAGTGCTGCGTCATGATGTCCGAGCAGGTGGGAGAGAGGCCTTTAAAGGAGCTCCTGCCTGCTTCTGAGATGAATCCCTGCTCGGGCCATTTGCATCAGCGTCACATCAACACATTGTGAAACCGGCTGATGACTCACTCTGACGCAGGTCCTTTTTCGCAAACCTCCCATCATCCTCCCCCCCTTCAGCCTCCCTCCCTCACACACATGTAGACAGATTTTCTCTGGAGAAAGGCTCGGCTCATGAACGCCCACGCCGCTTCGCTGCTCGCAGTGGCAGCCCCGCTCCGCCGGCCACCCCTCCCCTCCGCCTCCTCCGGTGCAAGTCACTGATGATGATGTGTTGCCGGGGCAACGGCTGGAGGTGGGCGGCTCCGCTGGCGGTGGGCGGAAGCCAGCCGCTAAGCAGCGTGGGAGGGATCTGCCGAGCCATCACCCTCATTCTGAAAGGAGCAGGAAGCTGACTGCTTTGGAGAAGGTGTGGGAGTCGGTGAATTATCGCCTCTCCTCCCTGCAGCTTCGTTAGGGATCGCCTTGTTTGTCTCCCTTCCTTCCTTCCTTTGTTTGCTGCTGCATGCCGGGAACAACGCAGCCTCTCGTCGGGGAGGATCGCTCAACTTTCAGAGCTGCGTCTAGTTGGAAACAGGCGAACTTCTGAGCTTCCTCTTTCATGCTTTGCCAAGAAACAAGGTGGCGATGGAGACTGAAGAGACGAGCTCGGAAAGTCAGCTCCGGCCTGCAGGCTTTAGGGTTACCAACAGGTTTTTCACATTTTCGGACCATCAGGATCCAATAAAACCAACACAGCAGCATCGTCACGTTGATTTAGTGACAATAAGACACAAAAAAGTTTTAAACCTTCATGTATTCACACATTTTACTGACTGAGGCTCATTTTTCTCTCCAATATAAAGTCACAGAATGACACAAAAATATAAATATAAACAGTAAAAACCTGAAATTAACATGCATAATGTTTCTCCAAATGCCCACAAGTGTTTCCAATAGTGGGAAATAAAGAATAACGTGCTATAGATGTATAATTTATTACATTTTAATTTGTTTCCGTACTTGCTCTGTTGAACTCTGCCCACAGTTTGCTCAAAAAGTTGCTGAATTTTTGTCATGTGACTGTTTGTTGCACCTGAGTCACTCGTGGCTTCACGGTTGCAGCAAAGACGGCAGAATTTTTTGTTTTTTACAGAAATTAGTTTGAACAAATGGTTAATTTTTGGCACATTTTAAAGTGTTTTATGAAATATTTTAAGCTGAGGTTTGCGCAACTCATTATTACTGTCTTGACGGTTTCTGCTTCTGATAACTGGTTTAATTTTGACATTTTACTGTAAACACAACATGCTTTTGTGGTTTAGAGGCTCAAAACAAAACACTGCATTAAAAATAAACTACAAAGCTCAACGTAGGACGGAGCAAACTGCAGATTTAATCAGTAAAAATACAAACCATTCGTTCCTTTTTTGTGTCAGAGGCGATAACTTTAAAAGAATCCCCTATGAAAAATGTGCAGGACGTGTTTGGGCAAATTCAACTTTAATCACGTCGCACCACAAATTACAGATTCTATTTTAAGAAGTTTGCAAGGCTGCAAAAGTATGTGGACGCCCACGTGCCGGTCCCATGTGAGAGTTGAACGGGTTTGTCGAGCTGCATGTCCACATACTTTTGGCCATGTGCTGCAACAGTCAGTTCAGTGATCTGCATGACATTTTCCTTCATGTCTGCAAAAAAGAAAAGAAAAGATAAAGAGGGGGGATTTTTTTAAAAACTTAAAGGTAGATTCCTGTTAAATAACGACCCACGTGTGAAATTTAAGTGGAAGTCCCCCTTTTTTTTTCTCCCTGCTTGTATGGAAATCAGATTTTGAATTGATGAACGTTTCTGGTGGAGGAACTCTTAGTCAGCACTCGTGTGTTTGTTTCATCCAGCTTGGAGCGCCGGGTGGGCGGAGTTTACCCAGATTCGGATGAAAGTTGGGAAGTACACTGAAGCAACTTATCAAACACTTTCCAGTGAGTAATCTGTTTAGTAGGTCGTTACTTTAAGCCGGGCGTCGAGCTGCACCCACACCAGCGCAAAGAGGTCAGAACGTGCATTCAAACGCCGTCTGACTCAAACCCGGCAGATCAGCGGGAATCTCTGCTGCCATCTCCCTGAGTGCAACTTTTCTTGCATGTGCAGAGAAAAAAAAAGCTTCAGCCTGTGGAGAACCATGTGTGACCAGGAGGTGGCGCTGTGGCTGCTTCTAAGATCTGCAGAGACAAAAACCTGGAAGTGGTGCAGGGCTGAGATGGTCCAGGAGGTGGCAGAGCAGGACAACGCCTGACTGGGACGGAGCCTCTCAGACGCTTTATTTCTTATTATTCAGACTTTAAAGAGCATCTGAGGCTCTTTACAGGATTTTAGTGTCTGGAAGTTCATATAAGCTGATATTTCTGGAGTTAAATCCACCAGTTCAGCAACAGAAAGCAACAGAAAGCAGGATTACAGGGAGAAAAATCTGATTTATCTGATTTTACGTCCACATTTATGACATATAAATGAATTTCTGGTGTCACGTAGATGATAATAACATGATAAACACAAGATTTCTTTATTAATATCTATAAATTCAGAGCTGGTGAGCCTGAGACAAATCTAAATTAGAGAGATTATAACTTTATTCTGGAATAAAATCAAACTTTATTCATCCCGAAGGAACTTCTTGAGCCAGAAATCGCTCAGAAATAAACAAATATACGACGAGAAAAGCAGTCAGACGTCAGCATGATGCATGAAATTCAACTAAAATACTGAAAAACTAAAATAAGTGAGGAGTAGAGGAGTTAACAGTAACGCTGACTAGTTGGGATTTATTTATTTATTTTAATTCAAACTAACAGAAAACAGTAAAAAGTTTGCTTCTGTCTTTGTTTTTTGATTCTGATTTCTAAACACGACATCAACCACGAGTGAAACGACGTCAGCGCTATTTAAAGAAACGGTTAACCGCCAAAAAAAGGAAATAAAACATGACCTCACCTGTTGGTAAATGCTGGAGTTCTGCTGGGTTTCCCCTGAATGACATTTATTTACACGATAAATATAGAAAACGCTGAATTTCTTGCATTAATAAATATCTTTAAACAGTGAAAAACAATCAGACTTTTCATAAATCAGCAAATGATTCAGATAATTCAGGGTAGAAATATATCTGAGAAGTAAAAACACAGCAGCAGCAGCATCTGAATGTAGCTAGAGTAGAAAAACAAACGACGATAATGCATCATAGTTAGTTTGTTGTTTATATTTTGTGTTATTTAGTTAAATCTGCAAACTTGAAGTGAAGTAAAACGTAAAAAATTTGCATCCGAGTCGCAGTAAAGACGAAGTTTGAAGCAGCAGAAAGTGGAAATGCTCACATAAATGTACTTATTTAGAAAGAAACTTTTTGGACTTTTTAATCCTTTAAAAGTGTTTTTTGACTTTTAAATAAAACCTTAGTCGACTGTCACGTTTGTAAAACCTGCATTCTGTTTGCAAAAAAAAGCAAAAATAAAGCGATTTAGCTGCTTTTTATTGGTTAAAATTCATCTTTTGTCACTTGTTTGTGTCACCTCCGAGCTCAGCCTCAGATCAAACTCAAAATGTGATGAATTACAAACTGAAGCGTGCGTCTTTGTTCCACTAAATCTGCTTTAAACGCTGTTTTTGTGAGTTTTTCTGAACCTCTTGGTTCATTTTCTGCATCGTTTAATGGTGCAAAGCTTCAAACATGTTCAGCTGTTTTACGTTCTGGTGAATCAGAAGCACATTAGAGGACAGATGAGCTGATTTAACTGTGGAAAGGAACCAAAACAAGACGTTTGGCTCCATTTGAATGAACCTGATGAGTGATTTATCACTTATAGATTCATGTATTGATGCCTTATTGGTTCACTCTGGAAGCTTCTCCTCTGTTCCGCCTTTTTCTTTCTTTTTTTCTTTTTTCCCTTTTCCAGTAAACCTTAGAAAAGCCCAGGACCCCTCCTCCTGTTTCGCTTTACTTTCACTTTCCTGCAGCTCGCGGCGTCTTTTCTCCACGTGAAGGTGAGAACAGCTCGTTTGTCTTTTTATTGATTCTCTCTGCTCACGTTGTCCTAAATCTGCTGTTAGACTCTTGAATCAACTCGTCCTTCAATCAGCTGCCTCGTCCTGTCCGTGCCTCGCTCGGTCCTGTCCTCCTGCCTTCGACTGTTTTTAGCTGCATTACATTTTTCACGGACACTTTTTCTGGTTAAGAATCTATTTTTGAAACTCTCTGAACCCCAAACTCCCACCAGCAGGTTTAAAAGACGTGTTATCTTTAAAAAAAACATAAAATCACCAAACTTACGCCGTTTATCAGCGCATGGAACTAAAAAAAACCGCGGTAATTGTGTGATGCTCAACTTTCCTGCGGTCCTTGAACGACTCACCTGTGACGTCATAATAATAATGTGCGCTTTAAAAATCTGTTTTTTTTTTTTTTTTAAATAAATAGTAATTCAAGCTTTTACCATAAAGTTAAACTATTTTTTAAATCTGCAAAAATATCTTAATTTTTTTATTTTATTTTATTTATTTATTTTACAACTCTTTGCTGTTATTTGACAAAAATATTCGGCATATTTATGAATGAAAAATAGTAAATAATATGTTAAAGTGCTAGAGTTTATTGATTTCCCCAGTTTTGTCTAATTACAGATAAAATTATGTAAAATTCTTGGAAAAAAAATCACATGTTCAATGTAAACAGAACAAAGAAAATAAATAACAGTAAATAACGTCAACAATCTGCATTTCTACAAATAATAGTTTGTTCATTTACAATGTGTCACCAAAATATTTCACAGATTAACTGCATTTAAATCAGCTAAAAACATCTTTATTTTCTAGATATTTTCTTGTTATTTCCATCATTTTCTTTTATAGTTTTTGAATGTGACAGAAGTCCACCGTTTATTAATGCTCCTCTAAACAATTCACTTTATTCTATGTTTAAAAATCTGTCAAAAATGAGGCATTTACATGAACTACATTCTGTCAAAACCAAAAAATTCTGTGCTCTTCAGTGCAGCCGTGAAACCATCAGCGACTCAGCTGAGACCAACAGTCACGAGACAAAAAATAGTTGAAGTAAACAAAGAAATTAAAGCAAAACTGTAAATAACGTCAGCAATCTGCATTTCTACAAATCGTAGTTTGTTCATTTACAATGTGTGACCAAAACATTACACAGTTTAACTGCATTTAAATCTGCTGAAAATATCTTTATTTTCCAGATATTTGTTGTTGTTTCCATCATTTTTAATAATTTTTGAATGTTACAGTTTTTGGATGTACAGGAGTCCAATGTTTATGAATGCTTTTTTCTTATTTCACATTATTCTGCATTTAAAAATTAGTCAAAAATGAGGCATTTACATGAACTAGATTCTGTCAAAACCAAAAAATTCTGAGCACTTCTGTGCAGCCGTGAAGCCATCAGTGACTCAGCTGGAACCAACAGTCACGAGACAAAAAATACTTTAGTTTGAACTGCAGGCGGCGTTTAAACAGAGTCAGAGAGGAGACAAGGATAGAAAACGTTCAAAATAAAATATCTGTAATAAGTCCATTTGTTCACCAGTGAACACGAGGACACGAGGACGAACCCTGTCCATGCTGATTCCAGGTTATTTTTTTTATTATTATTCAATGCTTTGATGCAACAGTTCCCCTGAAACAGACGAGGGAAGCGTTTTTGGTCGTATGTGTGAGAACTGTGATTAAAACAGTGAAACATGTCGGTGAGGACGAAGCTGCAGCCAGAAGCAAGTTCATACCTGCAGCCTTCAGCACACAGCCGGGTCAGAGGCTGTCCCACAGAAACCCTGAGAGTAACCTGAAACTCATGTGACTGAAAGCGCTGAGTCATGTCAGTTAGAGGTGAATACGTGGAGCTTCCAGCAGTCAGACGATAAGATCTGAGACGTTTTCTAGACCCTCAAACCGGTCCAGCTGGTCGTGAACGACTCAGAACCAAAGTCTGTGTATTTAAACAGAGCAGCTTTAAAATCCACAAGTAAACCTGAAGAACAGCAACAGCACAGGAGTTTGTTTTTTACTGTAAATAAATCAGAAAACATCATTATTTTACTGATAATTGCTGTTATTTATAAGAAAGTTATGATTGTATTTTAAGAAATGAGAACGAGTCATGTTACAGATAACATCCAATAAGATCAGATCAAAAAGTATTAAATCACATGTTGACTGTTGAGGAAAACAGTCAAACACTGTCCACGATGTCCACATTAAAGATCTGTAATTGTACAAGTAGGAATTTGTTCTTTTGCAACGTTTTGCTGTAAGTTAAAAAAAAAAAGTCTAATAATAAATTAAAAATAAATAAGTAAATTTTTTAACTGTTATTTTACAAATGAAATTGTGAATTACATTTTTACTGTATTTAAATCAGCAAAAATTGAGTTATTTGACAGATATTTGTGTTTTTTTTAAAAGAACCATCATATATATTAATAATTTAAAAATAGTAAATAATTTTTTAAACAGTTATTTTACAGTTTAAATTACAGGTAATAATAAAATCTAAGAAAAAATGTAAATTTATATGTAAACAATTAAATTAAATAAAATAGAATAACATAAGAAACAGGGCAAGAATATAAATACTGTATACATTAGGGGGAGAAAAGTATATTTTTTATAAATTTTAATTGGTTCCTTTGTAATATTTCACTGTAAAATTATTATTAGTAGTATTTTTTTACTATATTTAAATTTGCAAAAATATGATTATTTTACACATCTTGTATATTAAGGACTGAAAATAGTGAATAACTTGTTTTCTTTGTTTAAATTCCTCTATTATTTATCCTTCACTATGTTGTCTAGTTATTGCCGTTGTTTTTACAGTTTTCTAACATCACAGTGTTCCACAGTTTACTGACATATTAAGTTTTTTAATGGATTTATTTTTACTGTTCCCACATCTACTGCTGGCCTGTTTGAACCCTCGGCTGCCTTCGGTTTCTCATCATGACACCAAACAACAGAACAAGTTGTTTTCAGCACAAATAACGAAAGTAAAATCTTCCTTCCTCCGTGTTTGACGTCACAGTTTTACTCTCAGTTCCTTCGCTGCTCTTCTGCATTTTAAAGTAAAATAAGAACTTTTTTTTTTTTTTTAGAAAAGGCAGAAATTAGCTCAGACTTCTATTTAACGAGCACAAATATGAGTCATCATCAGATTTCATCATGACTGCACAACGAGAGCTGCTTTTAGGATCTGGACGCTCTTCAGGAAAACTACAGAAAAAGCTGAAATAAAAGAGAAATGTTGTAGATTTTGCCGTTTTTTTTAAAGATTGACTTTTATTAACTGTCCTCTGTCGATGTATTCGTCCCTAATTTAAGGCGATGATCTAGTTTCAAGTATTTCTAACTAGAATTTCTGATCAAACATTACTTATAGGACTTTTTTAGAGCATATTTTCAATAAAACTTATCAACTTAGCTTTCTATTAAACCTTTTTTTTTTTTTTTTGCTTTACTTACAAACACCAAATATTTCTGCTTTTACTGTTTTAAATTTTAATCTGATCCTTTACTT